TAGTATGCACCAGCCTCATTGATGTGAGGTGATATCTCATTGATGTTTGGATTTGCATTTCTCTGATGATTAGTGGTGAAGAGCAATTTTTACAAGCCTCTTGGCCATCTGTATCTCTTCATAAGGAAGTTTCTCTTCATCTCTCCTACCTCCCTCATCCTAACTCCTTGAGAAATACATTTTCATGCAGAATTATTGTAGTTTAAATCCCATGCTTTCGTTCAAGTAGGGTTTAGTGGTCATATAGAGTTTATCTATCTAAAGATACCTTGCCTCTAAACCACAGAGGTCCCTGATTTCCCTTGTACTTGCCTCTATGTTACTTCCAGGCCTCCCCAACTTAACACTGAAGAAAGAAATAGAATAGGGCCTTAGAAAATGGGATAAGAGGGGGTATGGTGCCGCCAGCAGGTCAATCTGTACCTGTGAAGCGAGTGCATCAGCAGCCTCATGGCGCCTTCAGACTTCCAGATACCCCAAAATTGCTGCTGTGCCTTTGGCAGACCCCAAAAACTTGGGGCAAAGTTTACCAAGAAAGTAAACGGCCAAAAGTTAGGTATGTGGGAAACACACCCACAAACCACCTCCGGCTCAGCTATATAAATGGAGGCAAGGCCTCTTTGGTTCCTGATTGAACTGCTTAATGGACATGATCCCAGAGACTCAGAAACGAATCTCAGAACCCAGTGGCTTTAGGTAGAAATGCGTCTGGTCTCTGCAGTAAGCTACCAGTGCTGGGCCAATCCAGGTGGGAATAGGTTTCGTGCCTTGGCCTGTTCTCCCTGGTGGCCCAGTGGCCGCCATCCGTCTGAGGCCACTGGATAGTCACATTTGGGCCCCCAGTGACGAGACACACAGGGCCTCACGGGATGGGGGTGGAGCCGGGCTTGTCCTTCCCACCCCACCGAGACCCCAAGTCATCACCCATGAATAGCCTCTCTGGCTCCTGATCAAGCTGCTTAATGGCCATGATCCCAGAGACTCAGAAACAAACCTCAAAACCCAGTGGCTTTTGGCAGAAATGCATCCGGACTCCACAGTACGTTACTGTCGCTGGGCCACCCCAGGGAGGAAAGGGTGTTGTCCCTCCGCCTGCTCCCTCTTGGCAACTTGGTGGCTGTCATCCTCCAGAGGCCACTGGACAGTCAGGCTTGGGTGCGCAGTGACGAAACTTGTTGGGCATCACGGAATGGGGGGGTGGAGCCGGGCCTGTTCTCCCCACCCCAACGAGACCCCAAGTCATCGCCAACCAACAGCCTCTCTGGCTCCTCATCAAGCTGCTCAATGGCCTTGATCCCAGAGACTCAGAAACAAATCTCGAAACCCAGCGGCTTTTGGCAGAAGAGTGTCCGGACCCTGCAGTAGGTTACTGTTGCTGGGCCACCCGAGTGGGGAATGGGTGCTGTCCCTCTGCCTGCTCCCTCTTGGCAACTTTGTGGCTGTCATCCTCCAGAGGCCATTGGACAGTCAGGCTTGGGCTCGCAGTGACGAAACTTGTTGGGCCTCACGAGATGGGGGAGGGGGGGGGAGCCGGGCCTGTCCTCCCCACCCCAACGAGACCCCAAGTCATCGCCCATGAATGGCCTCTCTGGCTTCTCATCAAGCTGCTTAATGGCCATGATCCCAGAGACTCAGGAGCAGATCTCTAAACCCAGTGGCTTTTGGCAGAAATTCCTCCAGATTTAAGTGTTAAAATTTCGGAATTTCAAAACCACATGGCCCTACTGCAGCCACACGACAACATATGTTATTCATAACCAGCAATAGAACACAAATTGTCTATTGTTGTCTTTTCAGCAGATCTGAGTGTTGGGGTAAAATCTCAAATAATGGTGGGTCTGGTGTCGAAATAGTGAATGTGATCAAAGTAGAGAGAGAGTAATGTGGAAATCATCTGCCCCACAGGTAGGGAGAGGGTGTGGGATGGGAGTATATTGGGGTTTTTGGTGGTGGAGAATGGACACTGGTGAAGGTACGGGTGTTTCATTGTATGACTGAGACTTAGACCCAAAAGCTTTGTAACTGCTCTCACCGTGATTCAATAAATAAAATTATAAAAGGTAAAGGTAAAGGCCCTCCCGTTGATCGTCGATTTGCTCGAGCAGGCCTAGTAATATCTCCATTGGAGACTTTGTTGTTACTGTGTCTGGCATATCGAAAACGAAAAAAAAAAAAGTAAGGTGGAGTTCATGCACAATTCAATCAGCTAATCAGTGGCTGAATAAATAGCAGTACTCCTACAAAAAAAAATGGTATAAGATTCCATGTTCAGCAATTGGAAGTATCAACATTGTCAAAATGATTATCCTACCTGGATTATTATATATGTTTGATGTAAACTCTATCAAAAGCCTAATGACATTTTTAAAGGACTTAGAGGGGTCATTAGTCAATTTTATATGGAGTCATAAAACACTCAGAATAGCCAAAATCAGTGTGAGAGATAAGAAATTGGGAGATACTTTATTTCCCAACTTGAAACTATATTATAAAGCTATAGTAATCAAAACATCAATATACTGGAGTAAGGATGAACTGTTAGACCAATGGTTTAGAATCAAGAACCTAATAATAAACCCCACATCCATGGAAATGGAGTAAAGATAGCCTTTTCAATAAAAGTTGGGAAAAGTGGATATGCACATGCAAAAAAACCAAAAAAACAAAAAACAAAAAACCAGATTTGTATCTATCACCTTATACAAAAGTCAACTCATAGCGCATCAAAATCTTGAGATTAGACTGATTACAACTCTGAATTACATGCATAATAGTTTTTAAGGAATGGTGCTTAATATTTTCAGCAGGTGTCAATTAGTGGTCTCCATTTATCACCCACTCACCCCTTATAGAGACAAGCAATCGCTAAAGGTTCATTTACACACTGACAATGTGCATGTGTGAAGAGTTGTAGGCTAGCAGCTCAGTGTGAGAAGACATATGCGCATTCATATGCCACTGGTGAATGCATTAGGGTGTTTACCTTTCAAGTGATTTGAGGAAGAGAATTATGCCATGCAACAGTTATGCAAGAATTGGTTAAAAGCCCATTTTTGGATGGGAGAAAAAACAGGATGCGAAGATTATGAGGTGAAATATGGTACAGTCCTTCTAAAGTTATTAGAATTAAGTTCGTAACTCCAGAGACCCAGCTTTTGTTTTGTTTGCTGTTCGGCAATCTCTTTATCCTCAGTATCCTCAATCGCTTTGAAGATGCTCATCCTTCCTTTGAGAAGCCAGACTGTTCGCTTCAACTCTCTAGCCATTTCTTGGTAACAGAAAGTCATTTGTTCCAAATCCTTGTCTACCTACAGGGATGTTGGACTAGACGATATATGTAGGAAGCAATTCTTCACACAGAAAAACACTCTACAAGTGTGGAATGGTGAGGTTGATACCTCTTTGTATGGATCTTGTGAACACTTCAAAACAACTTATTTTCCAAACCAGGTGTCGTTTTCAGTTACCTGTGGATTAGCCCAGTGGACATCATATGAGGTTAAGAACCTGTGCTTTGAAGAGAAGCACAGTTTAAAGGTCCCTCCTGCCTTTCCAACTGTGTGACTAGGCTGTCAACCTCTGAGTGCATTTCCTAAACTTTCAAGAGGTAACAAACAGAATCAGCCTTGCAGAATTGTTCAGCGGATTAAATGAACATTACAGGATCAAGCATTTAGCATTGTGCCAGACACATGGAACTAATCAGCTTTCATTGCTTGCTAGAGGAATTTGGAGTTCGGCTATTCTAATGGACTTTGTGCAGAGCCAGCAAAACAGAGGGAATTCTGATAATTTGATTAATTGCAAAATCTCTCATCCTACACGTCTTCCTTATTCCCTCTCACCTAAATGCGAACTTGTATTGCCGACCAACCAGTCGGCAGAGCTGGTTGGTCTTAGTACACTATGCCAACATATTCTATTTATTAATTTGCTTTCCCTGGGGATACCAGACTGTGGGGGTTGTCAGGATATCCTTGACACAGTGAGACATCAGGAATTTAGCTCAGGACCTCATGATCACCCTGGGAGCTTTCTAAGTCACTGTGCAACCACCTCTGGAGACCACTGTTTTCTCAGGACTTGGCTGGGCACCTTGAATTTTGTACAGAGATCTGAGCTGCACCCACTCCACATCTAGATCCTTCTTGAGCATTCATTCTGACTGATCTGAAAACACCTGCATCTCTTGTGCCTGGCATTTGTCATTTGGAGGAGAGACCTCCCAAGTGTTGCTCAAGAGGCCTCACAACCCACCTATGATTTTGAGCTAACAGGCTGATGACTCAATACAAGGGCCCCGGGATACAATGCTACTTGGGCCCTGAAGTGCTGGGGATACCCAGGTCACCCTGGAAGTACTTGAGGGCCTCCAGGGATGTGCCTGCTGGTTCTCAATAGACCAGGTGGTTCTGGAGTTGAACCCCAAGTTGAACCCCAACCCCAGTAGAGGGGTGTTCTAACCTCTGTACTATTTCCCATCTCCCTGCCTGGTATTTTATTCTTTATATGCTCCCTACTATCTGATGTAATGTACAATCAGGATAAAAATTTGTGTCATATGTGGCCATTTTAAAAAGTCCTATAACAAAAAGATTATTTTTAATAAAATTTTTTAAAATTAAAATATTTAAAAAAATTGGGCTGGAGCCATAGTACAGAGGTAAGTCATTTGCCTTGCACACAGCCAGCCCGGCTGAACGGGGTTCAATTCCTCCGCCCCTCTTGAAGAGCCCGGCAAGCTACTGAGAGTATCTCGCTGCACGGCAAAGCCTGGCAAGCTACCCGTGACGTATTCAATATGCCAAACACAGTAATAACAAGTCTCACAATGGAGACGTTACTGTGCCCGCTCAAGCAAATCAATGAACAACGGGAGGACTATGACCGTGACCGTGACCCTTTCTTAAGAAGCAATTCTACAGTGATGCTTCTGAAACCAAAATGGTATTTTTAACATTCACAGAATCTGCTAATCTTGTGTCATCATTTTCTAACAGATTGATGTTCTCAAAGCAGATCTGGAAAGTGCAGAATGGAAAGTTTTGGAAAACCTGATCCTGGAAGATGTTCTGGAACAGATTGGACAGCTCGTCTTTGAGATTCACCTCCACTGGCCAGGGTTCGAGGTCAGCGGCAGCAGCAGCAGTGTGGTGCGGTTCTGGTACAGCCTCCTCAAGGAGTTAGAACTAAAGGATTTCAGGCTGTTTCACAGCTACAAAGACTTATCAAAACCCCAGCTGTTCCTTAAGAAAGACATTTTCAATGCGAGCAGCTGTTACACTCTGAGCTGGGTGAACATGAGGTGGAGAGAGGGCCTTGTACGAGGCGGAACATGATCAAGAACTCTTGGACCTGGTACAGCTGGTAAGGTATTTACCTTGTGTGTGGCTCAGTGGCCAACCCTGGTTTGATCCCTGGCATTCCATATGGTCCCCCGAGTCTGTCAGGAGTGATCCCCAAACAGAGCCAGGAGCAATCCCTGGGCACCATACGGTATGACCCCAAAACAAAAGAAGAAACCCAAAACAAACCTCCCCCCAAACTACAAAAACAAGCACACAACAAACTCTTGGGCCTGTTTGTGATTGGAGTGTTTCCACTACACTGTTTATGTTTACTTGTTTGTCTCTAGCTCTCTCTGAAGGCAGGGACTGTGTTCCTGTCTCAGGAGTACTGGCAGACTGGTGCTTGCTATGTAGTAGGATCACCTAGCCCTGGCTGGAGGGTGGATACAGGAGTTATCCCTGGATCCTGACTCTTCCTGGTGATCTCTCACAGAGTGGGCATCCTGAGTCCTACTTCTGCTAAACTTGGAAAAACATTTTCCACTTACCCCACTTTCTCCTAAAATTCATGTTTCCATATTATATGAATTCATCCATATTAAAATAAATTCTATATAGTTTTTCGTTGTCACAGTATTATGAGATCCTCATTTGGGGTTTGTCCTCCTGTTATACTTAAACGCAACTCTTTCAGGATTTTGTTTGGAGGTAGGGGTGGAGGATTGGACCACACCTGGAAGTGCTCTGGGCTCACTCTTGGCTCTGTGTCCAAGGTTGGGCTGGGTGGGATCATATGTGGTGCTGAGGATGGAACCCAGGTGGATCAGTCTTACTGCTATGCTCTCTCCATCGTCTTCACTGTACTTTCTCTAGCCCTCCAGGTTCTTACTTGTTTACCTTGTCAAGAAGGTGCTTTCAGAGCCTTGCAGGTTTCAATCATTCCTCCCATCCTCTGCAGAAGTGCAGCTGTGACTTACAGCATCTGGGTGCTCAGATACACAGAAATCTGTCACTGCGTTTCAAAGAGGAGACTGTCAAGAAGTTCAAGATGTTTTTCAGACTCAGCCTTAAATCTTCCGTTGTTCTTAGGAAAGAAACTACAAAGTAAAATATTGATGTTTTCACCATTACCTGACTACAGACCCAGTTTCCAAACTGCAAAACCTACCTGTGCCTTCAAGTCTTAAAATTAAGGAAACAAAAAACAAAACACAAAACATTTGATCTCAAGGATTGAATTCTTACTACTGTGAATTGGCATTCTGTGTGAAGCCACGTACTCAGGCCAGACTCTCTCTTTCCCAGGATGATTATACAGCACTTTAGCAATGTCAAACTTTATCCATTAAAAAAAATTAAATGGAAAATGCAGGGTCCTGATAATTCAAATGATATCGTTCAATTTTTATGATTAGACAGTCCCCCTTATACATGATGTTTTAAAAAATCTATTTCAAATAAATAGCAGAACAGTGGGCTGGAGCAATAGCATAGCAGATAGGGCATTTGCCTTGCACACTGCCCACCTGGCCGACCCAGGTTCGATTCCTCCGCCCCTCTTGGAGAGTCGGGCAAGCTCTCAAGAGTATCTTGCCCACACGGCAAAGCCTGGCAAGCTTCCCGTGACATTTGATATGCCAAACACAGTAATAAGTGTCACAATGGAGACGTTACTGGGTCCGCTCGAGCAAATAGATGAACAACGGAAGGACAGTGACAGTGACAGCAAAACAGTAAACCAAATTATTCTCCTATTATAAATTAATAATATTATCTGGCATTTTTTCACCTCCTGAGGAAGTCAGAAAACTATGCAAACCATTCAAGGGGAGGGACAAGAATACAGCTTGCTATTAGATTTTATTTCTTTCCCTCCCTTTTCAAAAAGGGCTGGAGCGATAGCACAGCGGTAGGGCGTTCGCCTTACAAGCGGCCAACATGGCCGACCCGAGTTCGATTCCTCCACCCCTCTCGGAGAGCCCGGCAAGCTACCGAGAGTATTCGATATGCCAGACACAGTAACGACAAAGTCTCCAATGGAGACGTTACTGGGCCCGCTCGAGCAAATCGACAATCAACGGGAGGGCCTTTACCTTTACCTTTTACCTACCATATATTCCCTGGACTGGCTTTTTGTTGCTTCCAATGGTTTGAAAAATTCCAATCCTCCAGGGAGAAACCAAAATATTTAGATTGAGATGACTTTATCAGCTTGGGTGCAAAGGGAAAATCGCTTTATGACCTAATAGTGATGGTATTTTAAAATACAAAAATTTTCCTGTTAAAACTCATTGTGTGCTAGTTCAAATCATTTAGGTGAGAAGGTCAACTTGAACAAACTAGATTTGAAAAAGCAACAAAAATCCTCAGCTTTCAACAGCCATAGGTTATTTTAAAAGCTTAAATGGTCTTTAATGTGGTTTACATCATTCATTTACACAGTGCAACCTCCAAGACAATAAGAACTGTTAGTTCAGCTCCTGTTGGTTCATATCACATATTTTTGTTTACTGGAAATTATATACTTTGAAATATAGACAATAAATCTTTTTATACAGTAAACTTTCTTGTACATTAAAGTTTGAAGTGTTTTAATCTAAGGTGTCAAGTCTGATCAGTTTTTGGATATATCTACTCCCCACACGAAGGTTTTTAGTTCGTGGGATTGAAGATTTATGGCATTACTGTGTGGAAGTCCCCTTTGCACAGGGCAAGTTACCATTTATTACAGGTTGATGGTACAGATGTTGGCTTTGTATATATGCATCTGAAGCAAGAATGGGTGTACTGTTTATTCTTTTTAAAAAGAGACAAATTCAAACACACCCACTCACACCCACCTACTAGGCAGCCTGTTCAATAGTTATTTGTACTTATTATGTTTATTTCTAAGACTGTCCTTCACTCCCTTCATGGATAGTTTGAAATTTGTGAGATATATATATATTTGTGATATATATATATATATATATATATATATATATATATTCTGGCTGTTGCTATGGTTTTCGTGTCTCTTGAATTGATCACCCTTATTGTGTTGCCTGGGCTTTTGTAACCTCTGCGTGGTCTCCACTGCAGGCTGGATTTTTCTTTGGTGGGGAAGGGAGGGCTGCAGTGGGCAATGAGGATGCTTAGTCACTTCCCTGGCTCTTCTCAGGGGAGGCCAGCATCCCCTCTCCGTGCACCACTCAGGGAGAACCATGGGCTCTGACTCCAGACCATACCCCATATACCCTTGAGGGAAAGCTACCCACCTAGGAAAATTAGGTGGAAGGTGCAAGGGAAGGTCCACACCTCACAACCCTGGGGCTTGGGAGATGTTGCTTGTGAAGAATAGATACAACCACCATCCCAGCCACAACCACCTTGAGGGCAATGTCCGCCAAATAAAACATAATAAACATAATACCAGATCAGAGGCCACTGCTAATAGTGAGCTCATTATGTGTGAGCAACCATACATCACTATCACCCTGTTGCACCGATTCGCTCGAGCGGGCCCAGTAACGTCTCCATTTGTCTCTGTCATGTGCTAGTGTAGCCCGATGACATATTGGGGGCTCCTTCAGGATCAGGGGAATGAGGACCATTCATTGTTATTGTTTTTGACATATCGAGTACACTATAGGTAGCTTGTCAGGCTCTGCCGTGCGGGTGGGATACTCTTGGTAGCTTGCCAGGCTCTCCAAGAGGGATGGAAACTTTTGGGGCAGCCTCTAATCACCTTTACAGGTGTTCCTAGTCAGGCATATAGGCGGGTATGATACTCTCAGTAGCCTGCCGGGTTCTCTGAGAGTGAGAACTTGAGAGTAAGCTTCCGGGAGCTTGGTTTTAGTCTCTGGATCCTGGCCGTTGATGGGGTTACAAGGCAGTTGGTGGGTGTAACTGTCTAGCTACTGGAAGGTGGGGGAGCTGGGTGGAGGAGGCCCAGTTCCGAATCAAGCAGGCTTGGAGATCTCAGCCCTGGGTCCTACACAGCTGGGTTCCTCTGCCGGTTCCTCTTCCAAGCGTGTGGAGAGTGGTCTCAGCATGGCTTTGGCTGGGGGTGGGGTCCAGAGGTCTTCAGCTGTTAGGGCTCTGCTCAGGGCAGAGAGGGAAACTCAATTCGCCCTCCTCCAAGGGGCCCTGGTGAGGACAGCCAGGCGTGAGGGCAGGAGACTCTGCTTTGTTCTCTTCCGGGAGCCAGTTATAATTGGCCAATTATTATATATATAACAATTATATATTAGAGTTTATCCTTAGGAAAAATGCTAGTTCTCGAGACCTATTAAACCTAATTCGTTGAAAATAAGTTTTTAAGTTTGAATTCTAATCTAGACTATCTTGATAGAGAAGCTAAGTATACGCAGTGTATAGATGTGTGGTCCAGGGTCCCTAAGTTGTCTAACTCTTCCTTCTTCCCCCGCTCCCCCCTCACCAAAATAAAAGACCATACATAGATCATTCCTAATTTTTAATTCTCCAGACAACTATACCAGAAGAATCCTTGTTTAGGGCCATACCTATCTGTGCTCAGAGATCACTCCTGGCTGTGGTCAGGGGACTATATGCAATGCTGGGGATTGAACTTGGGTTGCTGACTTGCAAGGCCAAGTCTCTTATGCACTGGATTATCTCTCTGCCCCAGGAAGTGTCATTTTCTTAGCTAGATGAGGAAAGACTGAAAGGGTTAAATAGATTCTTCAACCTGTAGGTGGTAGAGGAGGAAGCAGTAACTCAGGCTGTCAGAGTCCAAGATCCATGCTAGATGCCTGGAGTGCCTCAGTGACCTCTAAGCAGTGAAGATGCTGCATCTGGAGAACTATTTTTGCCTCCCTATTGGAAATGGAGTTGATCGGGAGAAGAGAAACTACAAATATAGTTAGACCAGACCTATGTTTGCAAGAGTTGGGATGGTTCCCATAGCAGACAGGTCTAACTTATACAATATACTTTTTTTTTTTTTAATCCCTGCCAAATGGAGGCTTACTGAAGAAATAGGGAGACTTACGAGACTTCTCTGTCAATATATTCTGGATGCCAGCTAAGCTCTTGCAACTTCTGGAAGCGACACTTGGCTCAA